TGGAAGGAGCAGGGGTTGGGCAGATGCTGCTCTCATAAACTCAGGTCTCCAGCAGCCACAGCTCTAGGTCTCGGGGGGTTGTGCCCTGTGCAGGCTGGGTTGGGTCCCTGAGGAGTGATGGGGAGGGGCTCCTTTAAGCTGGGTGGTATGAGGTGGTTCATTAGAACTGAGACCGGAATGCTGAGAAGGAGGTGTTTGTGCAAAGACCTAGGAGCAGCCCCTTCTGGTGGCGGCAGTGGGCTATAAAAGCTTGGGGTAGGGGTTTGATGAGTCTGAACGGGGAAGCAAGGCTGGGGGTGATTTGAAAGTGGTGGTTTGGAATGAGGTGTGCCAGGGGCCAAGGAGAAGGTTGTGTGAGGGCCGTTGGGAGGAATTGGGATATCACTCTTGAAAGCAAGTGAAGCCTTTGTTGGTGGATGGTGTATGTGTGCATGTGGGTGTGGCTGGCAGGGCACAGGGAGAGCTGAGGTGGCTTGGAGGAGGGTGGTGGAGCTATGGCCACAACAGGCTGAAGTTGGGAGATGCTGCACAGATGGAACTGACGGGACCTGCTGCTGGAGTCAGTGTGGGGTGAGGGAAAGAGGGACCACTGAACTTCATCATCTGGGTGGCTTTCTGGGTGAATCCTAAGATCTGACCCCCGGCACATTGCCCCTCTTTGACCTGTCAACAGCCTGCAGCCGCTGTGTAGCCTTCTCCCTCGCTGGTGGGTTTTCCTGCTTATGTCTCAGGGCCCTTTCTCCCTCCTCTGTTCTCAGCATCATGGCGGAACAGGATGTCGAAAATGAGCTTCTGGATTACGAGGAAGATGAAGAGCCCCAGGCTCCTGCAGAGAGTACCCCAGCACCCCCGAAGAAAGATGTCAAGGGGTCTTACGTTTCCATCCACAGCTCTGGCTTCCGGGACTTTCTGCTGAAGCCCGAGCTTCTAAGGGCCATAGTGGACTGTGGCTTTGAGCATCCATCTGAGGGTACGCCTCCCTGGTCCCCCCTACCACGGCCTTCCTCTGAGTGCTCTCACCATGGTCCCCTCAGCCACCTGCTGAGGGGCCCACACTCGGGGAGCATCTGGTTTCCAGTCACTCACGTGATCTCTCCCCCTCAGTCCAGCACGAGTGTATTCCCCAAGCCATCCTGGGCATGGACATCCTGTGCCAGGCCAAGTCTGGGATGGGCAAGACGGCGGTCTTCGTGCTGGCCACCCTGCAGCAGATTGAGCCCGTCAACGGACAGGTGGGTGGGCGCCCTGCCTCCCAGGTCCGGGTTTCCTGAGGCAGCAGGCACCATGGCTCCTGTTAAAAATGCCTGTTCCCACATTCTTTTTGTGGGCTTTTAAAATAAAGGACAGTATTTAGTTGTAACACAATCCCCCCCAAAATGATAAGCCAAGAGAAAAAACTGTAAAGCGCCCACAATTTTACTGTTCAGAGACATGGTTGTTATTTCACTGTGTACTTTAAATTGTCCCTGTTTCTGAAAGGGGATTACACTGCACACGGCTTTGTTACTGCTATTGTTGCTGACAGGCCACAGCTGTCTTCTCATGTCCTGAACATTGTTTTCCACTATCTTGGGGGATAATTGAGGTGAATAATGGTGTTCTGCTCTTTCATGCTGGGGAAACATCCTTGGGCTGTGTGTGGGTGCACGAGACCTTATTTCTGTAGGGTAGATGGTTAAGGAGGGTTGTTTAGTGGGAGGTCGTGGTGTGGTTGCAGTGCTTGGTGGTGTGGGCCAGAAGGCCAGGGCAGCTGAAGAGCAGAGACTCAGCACAGGGCCTCTCACTGGCTAGGCTAGGCCAAACCACTATCCAGGCCTCACTGTAGGTCCTGGTGTTGGGAGACAGGCCTCTGTAGCTGTGAGAGGCTGTAGAGAGTGAGGGGTGGGTGAATGGCTGTGAGAGGCGTTTGGGCCTTCTCGTGGCCCTAGGTATGGGGAGTAGGGTGGTGGGTACCTTAGATGGGGGCCTGGTGGGCATGAGCTGTCCAGGGAAGAGAGCAGCAGGGTGGGCTCTGGCCAGGGAGGATTTAAGACACTGCTTTGAGTGAGTCTCTCCTGCCCACCCCACAGGTGACAGTCTTGGTCATGTGCCATACGCGGGAGCTGGCCTTTCAGATCAGCAAGGAGTATGAGCGTTTCTCCAAGTACATGCCCAATGTCAAGGTGAGCCCCCTTGGGCCGGGTCTGGTGCCATGTGGTCCTCTGCAGCCTGGCTGGTCTTGGCTCTGGCCCAGTCAGCATTTACCAAGCTTGGCTGCAGCAGCTGCCTTTGAGGTTTTTGGTGGTTTATGCTCCTTAAAAGCCTGGTGAATTATGCATGGCCCCAGAGGCCTGTGCCAGTCCCAGCCCTGGGCTGCTTTTCAGTGGAGCTGTGCCCAGGCTCTCAAGCCTGGCAGGGCTGCAGGCTTAGTGGCCATCAGCATGGAGTGGGGTGCAAGCCCTTAGAAAGGCAAAAGTGACTTCCTTTCCACCTGAATAGGTGTCTGTGTTCTTCGGGGGCCTCTCCATCAAGAAGGACGAAGAGGTGTTGAAGAAGAACTGTCCCCATGTTGTGGTGGGGACTCCAGGCCGAATCCTGGCGCTTGTGCGGAACAGGAGTCTCAACCTGAGGAATGTGAAGCACTTCGTGCTGGACGAGTGTGACAAGATGCTGGAACAGCTAGGTTAGTGTCACTGGAGACCCACCTAGCCACACCCTCCCCGCTGGGAGCCCCCTAGGCTTCAGAGCCAGGTGGGCCCTGACAGGGCAGACCAAAGGTTGCCTCAGAGTCTCCATTTTGAGGCAACATGGATGGTCGGCACACGGGTCTCCTGTAAACAATTTTCAGAAAGTTCTTATGTTGGCTGAGTGTGACCTGCCACTTCTGAGCCCAAGCCGAGTAGGACCACAGGGCCCAAATGAGCCACTGTCCAGCACACATGCATGTCAGCCCTAGGCTTGCCATGGCCTGACCACCTGCTGGGTTAGTTCTAGGCCCCTGCCTGCCCTTAGTGAGCCCCGACAGGGCCAGTGGGAGATGGGGCTTGTGTCCTGGGAGGCAGCTGCAGCTCTCACCCCAGCGGCTGTCTCTGCCTCAGGCTCCCCTCCCTGAAGCGTGGCTCGAGGCGCGCTGGCAAGGCTGCTCCGCTCTGGCAGCGTGTAAGTGGACTGCAGCTCCTCCCGGGCCTGCACTCACCCCAAGTCCAGCCCCTCAGGCACCAGACACTGAGGACTCGCCCCTCCCTTCACTCCTTGCTCACACTGCCCTTATCGTGGTGCCAGGTTGGGAGGGGCTGGGTCGGGTCTTGGGTTGGGGGTCGTGATCTGGCAGGTGCTCACACCCACCTGTTTCTTGCCCTCCCCACCTAGACATGCGGCGGGACGTGCAGGAGATCTTCCGCCTGACGCCCCACGAGAAGCAGTGCATGATGTTCAGTGCCACCCTGAGCAAGGAGATCCGGCCCGTCTGCAGGAAGTTCATGCAAGACGTGAGTAGGGCGAGGCAGTGGCCAAGCCCTCCTGGGTCCTGGGCCCTGAGCTGTCACTGCGACACGACTCCCACTGCCATCATGGCACAATGCTGGGGGCCTGTGGAGCCCTCCCTTCTCTGTCTTGTCAGACTGGGGACTGAGCTTGATCCATACCTGAGCCAGACCAGAGTTTGGATCCAGCTGTTGGGGAAGAAATGTTTACTGGGTACAGCAGCCCCTCTGGGAAGCACCACAACATAAGAGTCGCCCCTGGAAAGTTCTAAGCAGGCGTGATGCCCAGGAGTAAGCCCTGCCTGCCCCTTGCCGCTCCCCTTCCCTCAGCCTATGGAGGTGTTTGTGGACGATGAGACCAAGCTCACACTGCATGGTCTGCAGCAGTACTACGTCAAGCTCAAGGACAGCGAGAAGAACCGCAAGCTCTTTGATCTCTTGGATGTGCTGGAGTTTAACCAGGTGACACTGCTGTCACCTGTTGTGGGGTTCTGGGCTTTGGGGAGGCTGGTGCGTGGGGCCTCTGGCCCTGACCACTGCTTCCCTCTGGCAGGTGGTGATCTTTGTGAAGTCTGTGCAGCGGTGCATGGCCCTGGCCCAGCTGCTTGTGGAGCAGAACTTCCCTGCCATCGCCATCCACAGGGGCATGGCCCAGGAGGAGCGGTGAGTGCACGGCACCGTGAAGGCGTGAGGCAGACCCCTCCGAGGGAGCGCTGCCCAGGCACCCCGTACCTGATTCTTATTCCTCCTGTCCCCAGCCTGTCACGCTATCAGCAGTTCAAGGACTTCCAGCGGCGGATCCTGGTGGCCACCAATCTGTTTGGCCGAGGGATGGACATTGAGCGAGTCAACATCGTCTTTAATTATGACATGCCCGAGGACTCAGATACCTACCTCCACAGGGTGAGTGGCCCCCACAGGTGTCATCATGGCCCCTTCCTGGAGTAGGGACCTGGCCCGGCTTGTCCTTAGATCCCCAGGTTGTGTCTCTGTGGCCTGACCCATGCTCCTGTCTCCCTGCAGGTGGCTCGTGCGGGCCGCTTTGGCACCAAAGGCCTGGCTGTTACTTTTGTGTCTGATGAGAATGATGCCAAAATCCTCAATGACGTTCAGGACAGGTTTGAAGTAAATGTAGCAGAGCTTCCTGAAGAAATTGACATCTCCACATACAGTGAGTAGCTCAGGCAGGAGGGGTGAACTGGGGCCCTGGGGCCAGCGTGTGTGGGGGAGGGCTCTCCTCTCCTCTCACTAATGTGTGTGTGTGTGTGTGCATTTATCTTAACAGTTGAGCAGAGCCGGTAACCACGCGCCTGATGGCCCAGAGCGACCATGCCTCCCATGTTGCTGCTTCAAGTCCTTTCTAGGCGACAGTGGGCCTTTCTTTCTACTGTTTAAAAGCTATAGATTTGTGTAAGAATAAATTTTTATTATAGAAGCCTGGCTCCTACCCGTATGTTCTTAGTTGTTTTTGCGTTTCACAGACACAATATACCTGGCTAGGAAGCTCCCAGCCAGCCAGTAAAACCACCTTCTGTGAGATTCTGTATCTGTGAGATTTAATTTTAAGTGTCAACATTGAAAAGTTTATACAGATTAAAAAAAAAACAACATTACACAACATCCAACATCTTCATAACAGTGAGAACCCTCTGCCCCGGTGTGGGGCAGGTAGGTCTCTGTACCGTGAGCCACAGGCAGTGAAGCCAGGAAGGGCCCTTCCCTTCTCCCATCCCTGACCTCAGTCTTAGCTTAACAGGAAAATTGAACCGCAGCATTCTTGCCTCTTGTTCTATAGCAGAGACAGGTGAGTGGGAGGCCAGGTGGGCACAGGAGCCTCAGCCTTTCGGGGCATTGTGTACCTGGGCCAGCTCCAGCCCACCCTGGATCCTAGCTGGGGTGCAGCAGAGGGAGCTAGAAGCAGGCCCCTCAGGTCTGACTTTCCACCCGAGCTGTGTACTCGGGTTTGGCGTCAGGCAACAACTGTAAGCTCCTCCTCCCCGATGCACACATGGGGGCAGGATGACAGAAGGAGCTGAGTGGTCGGAGAGAAGGGGACAGTCTTCAGCACGTGCAAAAGCTGCTGAGGCCACAGGAGTTGCTGGCCTGGCCAGAACTGCATATTCACATGCCAGACTCGGAGGGCCTGAGGACCTGGAGAGAGAGGAAGTCCATGATGACTGAGCCCAGCTCAGGCTGCCTTCTGGTCTGGCACCCGCACCCCAGGGTCAGCCCTTACCCGAGTCTGGTTGTGGCTGGACCCCGATGTAGACGTGGCAAACTCTGAGTACTTGTTCCCAGTGACCATGCAGGCCCATTTCCGGTACTCCTCCCTCACCTGCAGGACCCAGGATGCCATGTCAGGGGAAGGGCAGCCCTGGGAAAGGGGGGTGGGGGAGCGGCCCAACCCCAGCTTGGCCGGAAGCCCACCTTCTTGTTGAGCAGGCAGTGCAGCAGGAAGAGGAACAGGCCCTGCAGGCAGTTGAGGATGGTGAAGGTGTAGGCCAGCACCTCGCTCCTCGGGTTGAAGAGGAACAGGCCGAAGCCCCAGGTGCAGCCCAGCAGGAAGAACTGTGCCAGGGCAGTGATGGTCAGCACCCTAGGGGGAGGAGTGCAGCTGCAGCAGGGGGCCACCCCACACACCCCCTCTCCCGGCCAGGCCGGCCCCTGCCTCACCTCGCCTTCTTTAATTTATTCATGTCTGGGTTGATCTCAGAGAACTTCTGAGTGAGCTTCCAGACAGTTGTCACGAAGATGACAGCATTGCACTGGGTGGGGGACAGAGTTGGATTAGTTAGGGGTTCTTGGAACTTGAAGGTAGAGCTGGTCTATGGGACTCGGTGAGGTGCCAGGTGGCTCACTCTTTGAGTTTGAGGGTGGGGTGTGTGTGTGGGGGGTTAGTTACCAAAATGATGAAAATCACGGGTCCCAGGAAGCTCCAGTGGAAGCCTTGTTGGCGGTCCAGCCAGCAGCTGGGCAAGAAGGGAGGGGTCCGTCAGGAGCGGGATACTGCGCGGTGCAGCCCCCACCCCCTGGGTCTGCACAGCCCCACCCCATCCCATCCCCTGTACCCCCATCTCCCTCCCGCCTACCGTGGCTCCACCACCCCGCACTCACTGGAATTTATGGCCGTAGCCCTCGCCGTTGAGGGCAGCCGCCGAGACAGCCGCCGAGATAGCCACGATGAGGCCGGGCACGCCGTAACCGATCAGGTAGAGCCACCGCTTCCTCGGGCCCTGGCCCTGGAACACGCGCACCACGAGAAAGTAGAGCTCCAGGCCCTCGAGGCTCATCCAGCAGAAGGCGGCCAGGAACCAGTAGTGCAGTAGTCCGGCCACTAGGCGACAGCGGAGCCCCATCTGCGGGCAGGGGTGGGTGGGGCGACGTCAGTGCGGGGCGCGGCCACGCGCCGTAGGAGCCAGTCCCCCTCCAGAGCCCTCGGGATGGGCAGGGGTCGAGGCGTGGCCAGGCTGCTCTATCGGGCGTGTGGGCGGAGCCACGTCTCCCCCCACCGAGCCCCGGAAGTGGGCGGGGTCACCCCTCTCATGGGCATCATTAGCCTAGCTCCCAAGTGAGTGACAGTGGGGCCTTCCACCGGGCGGGGTCTCACCTGTTCGCCTTTCTTCTCGACACCCACCAGGAAAATGGAGGAGCCCACAAACAGGCAGATGCAAAGGTGCAGGTGCACGGTAGTGCGGGAACCCTGGATGGGCCGCACTAGCAAGAAGGTGAGGATGCACAGCAGCAGGCAGACCAGCGACAGTGCCAGTCCCACCTTGGTGATCAGGGCCAGCTTTGGATCCTAGATTCAGGATGGGGTGGGTAGGTCTCCATCAGCACCCTGAGGCCTTCTGCTTTCCTTGTGAGCCCCACCGCCCAGACCCACCTGGGACCTGGCAGGAAGAACTCAGATCAGGCTGCTCACCTTCCCCCACCTCCTCTGCCTTCAATATCTGAGCAAACCTGCTGTCTCTGTCACCCTAAATACCCCCCTACACACACACACACACACACACACACACACACACACACACATACACACACACACACACACACACACACACACACGCACGTGCGTGCAACAGGTATCCCACTATGCACCCACGCTGCTCTCCCAAAAAGGTCCCCAGTGAAGCCTCGACTGCCACAACCTTTTTCGATACTGATGGGTCCACTTCTCTAACCTCATCTCATGCCCCTTCCACACCCCGCCACACCTATCAGCTCACATACCCCACACTTCAGTACTTCCTGGGCCTTTGGTCTGGACCACCAACCTCCCCTGCTTTGCCAGGCCCGTTCCAGTTATCCACACGGCCCAGTTTATCTGTGGATCCCCTGAGGCCACATACAGAAAGTTGTGCTCTTTCCAGCTTTTAGAGATATTAACAACAATTGGATGGGGTGGGTAGTCAGAGGGGCGCTGGCCAGAGCAGGGCCTGCAGTGCCAGGCTACACTGTTTAGTTGCTGGGTCATGGGGAGGTCTGGGGGGTCCCAGGGAAGGAGCTGGGGGGCGTGGCATGGGGCCACCTGGGCTGTGCAAGCAGACAGAAGCAGTTGGTCTTCATCAAGAGCTAGCTGCCTGTCTCTCCTAAGCTAACCTTGCCATCTGTGGGCTTTGGAGGGTGGCCCCAGGGCTGCTCACCTGGATGTCATAGTGGGCCATGAGGATGGCAAAACTGCTCAGGTGGCTGCATCGACAGGTGGTACTTTTATTCTGGCTGCCCAGCTTCCAGCAGCCTGTGGTGGCCCAGTACCCGCCACTGACATTGTCACCCTTCCAGAAGGCACAGATCAGCTCCTGGTGTTCCTTAGGCTCCTTCCACTGTGGGCAGGCGGGGGTGGTTGGAGAGGTTAGCCTTCAGGCCACTCGGGTTCTGAGCTTGCGTTGGGTCTGAGGAAGGCTGCTTTTCATTGACAAGTATTTACAGAGCACCTACTGTGTGTCCCAGGCCAAGGGACACAGCAGTGAACAGGGCAGACACAAGTCCCTGCCCTTGTGGTGCTGATATGCTCATGGGGGAGATAGACAGTAAATAATAAACTTAAATAAGTAAACTAGATAGTGTATTAGAAGGTGAAAAGTGCTATTAAAAAAAAGAAAAGGATAGGAGAAAGGTGGGTCATGATTTATTACAGATTATAACTTTAAATAAGGTCATGGAAGGCCTTAAAGAGAAGGTGATATTTGAACAAAGATTGGAAACAGGGAAAGGACTGAGTCATGTGGGGAAATAGTGTCCCAGGCAGAGATGAAAGCAAGTGCAAAGGTCATGAGCTACATTTAAGAAAGAGGCAGAATGGGTGGAAGTGGGGATGAAGGCTGCAGAGGGATTGCCTTGACTTTGGCCATGGGGTAAGCAGTGGGGCTGAGCCCCATTCCCCACCCAAGGACTCACAGTGTGGGAGAAGGCGAAGGTGACAGGGGAGTCTAGTTTCTCCGTGTTCTTGTTGCTCAGAAAGACAGAGTTGACAGCAGAGAGGAGCTCGAGTTTGGCACCGTTGACAGGACTCTCATGTATCTTTTCCAGCTTGGCTTTCTTCTCGGGGTCCAGCTTCAAGGAGGCGTTGTCCAGCAGTTTTTTCATGTTTTCGCTGGAGAGCATGCCTACCATGGAGGGACCTGGGGGACAAAAACACTGGCTACCTTCCCCTGACCTCCTACCCTCCTAAGACGTCTAAATCAGGCTTGGCCAGTCCACCGTGATCCCTGAAGTCCCTCAAGAGGGCTGTTTCCGACTCTTACATATTTGGCACCTCACCATTAGCTACATCCCAGCTCCTTTTTCCTGCTCCCACTGGTGCCCCCTCCAGCTCCCTGCTGTTACCTGAGTTGTTGCTTCCAGCTGCCACAGACCAGTTCAGCAGCATCCGCGCATGGCTCTGGCCCATGGTGACATTTCCATTTCCTTGCTCCTGGATCATCAGGGACAGCTCTGAGGGGAAAAGGACATGATTGGGGGCTCTGGGTATAGGATGGGGTCCAGGGCTGGGGTGGGGGGGGGCAGGATGAGGCCTTACCTGTGTTCTTAGGGGAATGGTGGGTGAAGGAGTCTTTAGGCATGGCCAAGGCCAGGGTCCTCAGGACTTCTTCGAGGCCTGACAGCAGGTAGGTGGCTATGTGGTGCCGGGAGGGCAAGGCCAGGGTCTCCAGGTCCTGGGGGTCTTCCAGTAAGTTGTCCAATGACTCGATGAGTTTCTGGGGGTGATGGGTGACAGCTGCTGGGTCAGGGCACCACAGGGGACGCCCGAAGAACCCTGAGCTCACCCCCTCACTAGAGGACACACTGGAGAACCATCCAGGTTGCCTGGGGGACAGGCACAGGGGAATCGAGACACTGTAGTAGCCAGAAGACGAGTAGGGGAATGGAGTACATGCCTGTGTGCACATACATATTATAACGATGGCACATTTATCAGGCCCTGGCTTTCTGCCAAGTTCTCTTTGAAATCTGCACTGTCCAGAACAATCACCACCAGCCACATGTGGCACTTGAAATGTGGCTCCACGTTGAAAAGGTAACATTTTTGGATCTATTGGGTTAAATGCCATCTTCATATTAATTTCATTTCTTTATTATTTTTTTTTCAGTAAAGCTACTGGAAAAATTTAAATTCTATAAGGGGCTCATATATTTCTACCAGGCTAAGTGCATATGCTAAAACATATATTATGCTTACTATGTGCCAGGCACTATTCTTTGAGTCTTGCTTCTCTCAGTTCATTTAAACCTTCACACCCGCTGTATGAAGCAGGCACTATTTTCAGATGAGGTGACTGAGACCCAGAGAGGAGTCACTTGCCTGAGGTCACACAGGAGGAAATGTCGGGGGGATTTGAACCTTTGCGGCCCGGTTCCAGAGGCAAAACTCTTAATTGCTCCATTCTGTTGCCATCATATCCCTCTTGATCCTTTGTGTGTGTGTGTGTGTGTGTGTGTGTGTGTGTGTGTGTGTGTGTGCGCAGGCCCTGCTCTGGTCATTGGTGGACTCAGGAATTGGGGTGTATATGTACGTCTGGGTTTCTGTAATGGGATTATATATGGTGTGTGTATATTGTGCATATAACCACATGTGTTTCTCTGATCAGAGACCCCTGCTTGGGCTGTCTCCACTCACACTGAAACCTCCCTCAGCCACTCCCACACTCTCCTGGGTCCTGCCCTTACCTTGATGGTGTCCTGGGCCACGGCAGGCTTGAAGTTTCTGCCCAGATCCTTGACCTCTTCAAAGAAGCGGGAGAGACTCTGGGGAGAGAAGAGATGAGGGGTCAGAGAGCTCCACGCATGAGTGGGAGAGCTTGGGGACAATGGGTGGACACGGTGGGCTATGTGAAGGGGTCCCTGCCTCTAGTCCCTGCTGGGGCCACTCACCTGGCTCTTGATTCCGGGGGGCAGGGTCCAGGTGGGGAAGTCCACTGCAGGGGACAGAATGGGAGTTTATTAGGTGTGAGAGCATCTGTGTGTGTTGGAGGCAGGGTTGGGGGTCAGGTCAGGCCAGGTACCTTCACACTGAATGGTATTTTTGAAGCAGGGCCCACTTGCAATGTTCCCCGCCTCACTTTTCCTTGACCTATAGCTTAACAATAGGTCATCCCCCTGCCACTGGAGCTCAGCTTGGTTCCCAGCTTAGAAATTGCCCTGAAATTTATGATTAACACCCTTAGGCATATTGATCACAATCCCTCTGGTCTAACATTCTTTCCAGGCTACTCCCCTCATTGTTCCTGGGCTGCCGATGCCACCAGAGAATCACGTTGGCAGAGGGAAGGCTCCATGCAGTACCCCGAACCATGTAGCCCTGGAGGAACACCCAGATTTTCCCTTACATACCCCAAGACTGTTTGAGAATGTCAAAGCAGTTTTTTGAAGGTGTTAACCGGCTGCCTTCTCAGACCACCGGTGCTCTGATAATCGTTTATTCTATAGCCCAACTCCTGTGTCTATCTGTTGGCTGAGCAGCACAGGCAGCACGAGCCCCAGACTCGGTTGCCCTACAGTTTCATTTTGTCTATTCAGAAACCCAGGTTTGGGCACCCAGCTTCGGAGCCAGTGGCATGTGTATGAGCCCAGAGTGCTGACACAGAAGGTGGAGTTGTCACACTGATGCCCCCAGAGCGACACTCATCCACATCTGGGGACACGAAGAACAGGCCCAGTCCCAGCCCACTCAGGCCCCTCTCCTCTCCATGCCCTGCCCCTCCCCCCATGTTAGTGCCCCCCCCCCTTGGCTGGAGTGATGCCGCCTGGTGACTGCACATCCCTGAGTGGTGGACACAGGGGTTATGGGAGATGTGTGCAGAGGCCTGACACATAGCAAGTGAGCCCCATACAGATGTAAGCTGGTGAAATATTGAAATACCTTTGTCCCAGTTAGTAATTGGCTGCTGCCCGGGGTTCCCCAGGAGCCTTCCTCTTGGTACCCCAGCTTCTTCCCTGGGACCCACCCAGATCTTTGCCCATTTAGCCTCAAAAGAATTAACGCCTGGCACAGCAGGGCACCCCCAGCATTCATTCTGCTTGGTTTATATGAGTTCCAGTGAATATGTAATCAGATGGTTTGAGTGTGGGAGTGTGGGATCTGAGCTCCAGACCTTCACAGATGGTGTTGTTTGGGCCATTGGGGGACCCAGGCATTGGCTTCCAGCCAGGGCGGCAGCGGCAGTTATAACTGCCCACAGTGTTGAGGCAGTGTGTGGATTTGTGGCATGGTTTTTGCTCCGAAGCACATTCGTTCACATCTGAGGACAAAGCCAGAGCGTCAGCCCCCCCCCCCCCCCACTTCCACCCGCTTCTCACTGCCTCTCATAAGGACTCCACCATTAGTGCACGTGCCACTACCTGGTGAACTTCAACTTCACCCTCAAAGCACCTTATGGCAACCTCCCTGCAAGACGAGCAGAGCAGGAACCATAGTCTCGTTGTAGGCAGCAAAGCCGGGAGGAAAGCTGCGTCCTGCGGCTGAATTTCCTGACCAAGGACTCTTACCTGCTCCTTCCTGGGCCCTAGCCCTGCTTCCCCTTCTGGGAACTAGAAGTGACACCTCCCTCTGCTCACATGTGACAGGTGAGGATGGGGCAGGGCCTGCGGGCGCTCACAGGGGCTCCACAAGGGAACCCCGGGCCCCCGAAGTCCCTGCCGCCTCCCTGCTCTGTGGCAGGGCCTTTCGGGGAGACAAATCCTTGGGCAGGCCCTTGGCGTTTTGGGAACCTGAGAATCGTTTCCCTCCTCCTCGGGCTGTGGGACCTGCCTCGGCTCCTTCCCCAGCTCCAGTCCAGCCTCACAGCGTCTCCCCCAGGGCTGTACCTGAGCACAGCTTCGGGTGCGCCTGGTCGAACTTGAAGCCAGATGGGCACTTGCAGATGTAGCTGCTTGGGGTGTTGACACAGATTTGGCGGCCCTTACAGATTCTGGGATTCAGCGTACATTCGTCTATGTCTGCAAGGGGAAAGAGGGTGATGGACGCCTGCAGCCATGGGCAGCCTTCGGGGCTGGGAGTCAGCCACATTTCCTGGCATGGAAGCGTCTGAAAGGCCCCAATGTCTCCCCCCAGGAGAGTGGCCTATGGGTGAGTGTGGTGGCCAAGGTGCTCTGTTGTCCAGATGTGGCCAGAAGCAGCCCAAGTCCTCCCAATCTGCCAGCTCTGGCTCCCTTAGCCTCCTCGGGCAGCTCTCAGGCGGGCAGGGACATCACAGCCACCTGGGTCCCAGCCTGAGCATTTGGACAAAGGCCAGGTGGGCCTTCCCAGGAACTGAGTGCAGGCGAAATGCTGCGTTCCTTGAGCAGGGCCTGTCTTGACCCGCCCGGGGTGAATGCTGCTGGCTGAGTTCTCCTTGGAATCCTGGTGACAGCGCCCTCCTGTCCTTGCTAACTCTCCAGCTCCATGGAGATGGACCAAGACCCACCCCTGGGCCTGGCCCATTGGCAGGGGCTTGGAAAAGGAGAATGATGCCTGACAGGCCAGGGCCACCCCAATAGCACCAGATTGTGGTGGACAGAGGGTCTCATGTCCAGCCATGCAGGCTTGTGGCAGTGAAAGCACCTGTCCCGCTGTCCCGGTCCCCATGACGGCCCCCCTGGACTGGTAGGAAGTGGTGAGAACCCATAGGAGCACAGCCAGCAGGAGGTGAGGGCTGGATGCCTGGAAGGGGGAGCAGGTGCTGATGGGCTGATGAGGGGTGACATGTGTTTCTGTCATCTGACCCCTTGGCTTCCCACAGGGATGTAGACCTGGGGGCCCTAAGTGGGGCTCAGCTTCCATCTTCTGTCCCCCAGGGGTCTGGGACCCCATGGGGCCTGGGTTGACATCCTCGGGAGAGGGTGGGTCCTGGGGTAGTGGTCCCCAGTGATGCCCTCTCTTATCATCTGGTCCGGATGGGAGCGTCATCTTTCACCCTACTCTGAGTTTGAGGCAGGGGGTCAATGTCGCCCTGCCTACCCCCTTACACGACACCTTTCTAGGTCCCGCTCTTCTGAGCTGCCTTCCGGCCTGTGAACTGAAATTATTGGGGAGGGTCAGGGTGGAGCTTTGCTCAAGGAAATAGACCGAGGCCGAGTGGTTGAGAATTGGGGTCAGGGCACCAGGAGGCATCTTCTCCAGGCGGGGATGTTGGCCAGAGGCAGGGCCAGCCGGGGAAGGTGGGCCTGAATCTCTCTTCTCCCAAGTTTCTTGGCCAGGTCCCCAGATCCATCACAGCCCAGGGGCTCTGAGAGGGTTCTTGGTGTTGCCAAGCCTGTATGGGCTCCGGTGGAGGCAGGTCTCATCCTGGCAGTCATGGACGATGGCAAAGAGGATGGATATTAAATTTAGTGCACCATGAGCTCCTGAAGTATCTTGCATGCCACCTCCCTCTTTTATTTTATGCAAATAAGATGCCAGGTGGGCAGGGCCTGGGACGTTCCAAACTTCTGGTAGTGGCCTCTGCAGAAGGTTCTGGAGCCTTGGGGTTCAGAGAGGGTCAGCAGACCAGGTGGGTGCCTGGGATGGGCCTCTGATGCCTGGAGAAAGTGGGGCAAGAAGCCAAGGGAGTGGCCTGGGTCTCCTGCTCATAGCTGACCCCATGGGCCATGAAACTGATAGACGTGTCCTCAGGTGCTGCAAAGGCTGGAATGCTGAGGTGGGCGGGTGCACAGACCGCCCAGCTGAGCCGTCACAAAGCTAGCTTTAGGTGGCAGGTCCTGATCCAAACCAGAAGGCTGCTCTCTCCCCATTACCCACCTTGAGGTTCCACCTCTCCCACGTGTTCATCCATGTCCCTGCCCAGTAGCTTGAGCCCCTTCTCTCAGCCCTGGCCTGTTTCTGAGATAGTAACACATCTCCTCAATAACCACAACCACCCCCTGTGCCGCGGGACTCATAATAGTCCAGGCACACTGAGTGGGATCCATGATCACCATGCAGTTGTGCAGGTTGCTCACTGCACAAGGGTGTTCAGCCAAAGAGTCAAGTGGGGGCTGAAAACCAGCTCACTCTCCATTCCCAAAACACATTGTATTCCCCTGAAGATGAGGAACCTTTTCCCAATTCACATAAAGGCTCGGTCCTCTGGCCAGGGCACACGTTTGGGGCAAAACATCTACCCATAGAGTCACCTATGGACTATCAGTGAGGTGGATGGAGCCCTCCCACTGGTGTCCCTTTCCCTCCCACCAGGGAGGCTCTGTTGCCCTCTGCACGCAGGGCAGGGACCCAGGCTGTGGGCTCTTCTCTCCACAGCAGGGTGAGTCTGTGGAACCTGCCCAGAGTCCTCCGGGGTCCTCAGCCCAACCTCTTCCTCCCCTCTCTGTATTCGGCACTAACCCCTTCTCTCTGGGAGAGGCATGGCTTCTGCTGGCCCATGGCTGGCTTCATCTGCCACTGCAGCTGCCTCAAGCCCCTTTGCTGCCTGCCTGCTCCCCTGGAAAGGGGGCAAAGCCTGGTGATGCATGGAGGCCTGGTTCATTCTCCTCGTGAGGAGATAGACCAGGCCAGCTGCTCTCAGAGTACCCACTTGGGGCACAGTTCCCTGGGATGCCCATCCTGGAGAAGGTGCATTAGGTCATAATGATTATAGTCTAAAAACCCAACAGCCACCTCTCTGTGCTGTGCTCTGTGATCTCATATACCTTCACGGCAATTCTATGCGGTAAACACCATTGTCACCCCCTTTTACAGATGGGTAAACTGAGGCACATAGAGGTGAAGCAACATGTCCAAGGTCATACAGTTAACAAAAGGCAAAGCTACTTTTGGGGTTTTTTCCCTGTAAAAGATAGGAGCTCTTTTTAAAAATACATACACACACAAAATCATAATATTATCACAGCTCACATATTACCAGTGATTTCTGAATAAATGTCCTGGCTGGTGTCACACACACAGCCATCAAGTGACAAAGCCAGGATTTGGGCCCTTGGCTCTCACACCACCCTGTCTCTCTGTGCTGTTGGGACAGGCACAGGCACACCTGTCCCCATTGAGACCTGGGCACTGTACCTATAACCAGGGCCCTGTATGCTGCAGGAATAGCTCTGGTGAGCCCAAACTTCATGGATGAGAAGATAGAAGATTCAGGGACATTCTTACCTTGACATGTGTTCTCACTCGCATTTCTGAACACTTTTGCCCCAGAAACCATCTCGTATCCCTGTTGGCATGTGCAGTAGTAGCTCCCCTCCGTGTTCTGGCAGTCTGCGAATTTTCCACAGGGCACTGTCAGGGGTGGTCCACACTCGTTGATGTCTGGAACACAACAGGACAAAGGGTCACCTCCCAAAGGCATGAACTTGCTCAGGGCAGAGATCTTCATCCCCTACCTGGCCCCCCAGCATGGGGCCTGATGCATAATCTGGGTCTTTTTAGAAAGAATTAGACTCAGGCAACACTGCTGTGGCTAGGCTGTGGCTGGAGTATGCCATTCCTGAAGCCCACTCAATCAGCTTGGCTCTTCATGGCTCTCTGGCTGGCACCCTGGGTTTGGATATGGGAGAAATGCCGAAGCGGGGGTGGGTGGGTAGATGAAAGCTCTGCATCCCCCCTCCCCAGTCCTGGAAGGGCAAACTGAGGCACCCATTTCAGACTCCTGGAGACCCAGTTCCTCTCTCTCCAGAAAGCCATGTTTATTCGCTTCTTATTTTTCACCTTCATATCTTTTTCTTCTTTTTTCTCTGTCCTTGATGACAGTCCAAGGACAAAGGCTGAGATCCCCAAACTCCACCCACATCCCCATGGGCACTGGGCTGTGCCCCACAATCTCCATGTGGCCCTCCACCACCCCAAGCCTCTGTACCATCACAACTCTCCAAGGGGCTGGTGATGATCTCCCCAGATAAAGAACTGAATCCTGGATGACAGCGACAGGCGGTGGCATTGACACATGAGGAGTTTGGAGGGCACCACCGAGCACAGGCTGTGGAGGCAGAGGCTGTGGGGACAGAGACCTGGTCAGGAGGTGAAGGCTGAGCCAGGGGCTGGGGAAGGGCAGCCCTGAGCTCCCCTCTGCAACAGGCTTCTCTCCCGCCTGGGCTGAGAGGTGCAGTGCGGGGCTCGGGGACCCTTTCCCAGGCTCTGGCTGTGGACAGAGTTACTTTCAGCAGACTCACCAGCGATGTTCCCAGATTCAATTTCCAACAGAGTCAGCAAGCGCAGCGCTGGAACAGAGAGAGGGCGGGTCAGGGGTACACAGAGCAGGGAAGGGTTTACAGAGGCCTGAGGGTGATGCATCTGAGGGAAGGGGACTGCTCACCCCTCCTAGGCTCTGACTCAAAGAGAGGGCCGGCAGGTGGCACCTCCTTGGCCTCCAAAGCCCACAGCTACAGAGTTGGCACCAGTTGCTAAAACTAAAGGATAGGGAAGGGCCTGAGCCCAGCAGGGGTCTTGGCTCCTGCTGACCTATGGGCAGGATTTCAGAAAATAGACTAGAGCCAGGTGGCCCTGGTTCTAATCCCAGACCTTGGTCAGATTACCTCATTTTTCAGTGCCTCAGTTTCCTCTTCTATAAAACGGGGATGAAGTGGGGGACCCACTTTCTAGAGCAGCGGTTCTCAACCTTCCTAATGCCGCGGCGACCCCTTAATACAGTTCCTCATGTTGTGGTGACCGCCAACCATAAAATTATTTTTGTTGCTACTCTATAACTGTAATTTTGCTACTGTTATGAATCGTAATGTAAATATCTTTTTGTTTTCCGATGGTCTTAGGCGACCCCTGTGAAAGGGTCGTTCGACCCCCAAAGGGGTCACGACCCACAGGTTGAGAACCGCTGTTCTAGAGTATTGGGAGAGTTTGGCACATGAGTACTGCCTAGTATATCAAAGTGTTTACTGTCATCATTTTTTTATGTAAAAATGAAGGGGTTGGACCAGGTGTTCTCTAAGGTCCCCCCAAATCTAAAGTGTTCAGCCACCCCCTCCCCACACCCTCCCTCAGGGACACAGATGCAAGCACACCACACCCATATCTGTCAGCCCCAACGACCAGCTTGGGACCCAGTAGTGATATTTCACCCCTGGCGCCCTGAACACAGGAAGATGCTGTGGGATCACATTTGTGGTGGTGCTGAACGACCTTCCCTCTCTTGCTATTCCTGCAGCTCGGGGCACCCCCCCCTCCCAGGGCATGTCCTAGGGCTCCTCCTCAAGTCAGCAGGTGCTCTAGAGATGGGGACCTTGTTACCATTCACCAGATGGATAGACACAGAAGACAGGGATGGAGGGAAAATACAGAGAGACGGACAGAGAAGGAGCTAGAGACAGAGAGAGGTGAAAGGGAGAAAGACAGAGAGGTGAAGAGATGAGAGAGAGAGAAGGAGACACAGAGAGATGGAGAGAGAGAAACAGAGAGAGAAGCAGAAGTTAAGACTGAGAGAGAGAGGTGGGTAGAGAAATAAGGAACTCCTAGAAAGGGAGGGACAGAGATTAGACAGAAAGATAGGTTGAGAGTGAGATAGAGAAAAAGGAGAGAGAACAGGGAAGGGGAAGGGAGGGAGGGAGGGAGGGAGGGGAGAAGGTGCCCCAGCAGCAGGTGGAGGCATGGGGAGCGCTTGGGGGAGCCGTCCAGTCCCTACCTATCTGAAAATGCTGAGGAGGCAGCCCAGACACCCATAATCTTCAGGGAGGCCTGAAGAGAGGCCAAGGAATTGAGGCTTGGAGGGAGGGCAGATATGAGCCACTTCCTGGGCCGAGGGAAAGGATGACACACGGCGCAGTAGCCCCTGGAGGGGCCCCCAGGGGAATTCTGGGGTCAGCCATTGGGAACACAGCTTGAGGAGCTGTAGGGGGTGCAGACTGCAGGGTCCCCTGAACACTCAGTCCCAATGTCCAAACTTGATAGCCCTCAAGCTGGAGGAGGGTAGAGACCCCCTCCCAAAGCCCTGCCAGCTGGGGTAAACTGAGGCCAGAATCCCCGTCCCTTCCTTCGAACGAGGATTCCTTTCTTACTGCTCTCTGGCCAAAGGATTTGACTAGTTCCCTCTTCCACCGGGACCCAGTTCCTCTTTGTGGGACAAACCACAAAATGACCCCAGCTGCAACTTTCATGCTCACAAGTGCCCTAGGAGGCAGAGGCTCCGTTTATGTCCACTCTACAGATGGACAAACTGAAGCTTGGGGCCCAGAAAAGGCTCGGAGAATCTGGTGCACAGAGGGGGCTGGGGAAGGTGGAATTGAGGGGTCGAGGACTCCAGACCCTGTAGGAAAGGGCTCTTTGTGCCTGTCCCCTCTCCTCCACCAAGGCTGGGCTGGGCTCTCCTCCCCCACCACAGAGGCTGCTGGGCCAGACCTTCTCCATTTGGGGCCTTGGAAGTCAACCAAACAGGAGCTGGGAGAGGAGCTGCTGGCCATCTGCTTCCAGCCTCATCTGGTTTGCATTCCCCTAGCTGAGCCCTGAACACTCAGATTCCTGCTTCCAGACCCTGGGATGGGGGCAGGGCAGTCATTCTCTCCTTGCTCCTCCTGCGAAGGACCACCCCCCAGCCCATCTCCCAGACCCACCAGTGAAATAATAATAATAATAATAATAATAATAATAATAATAATAATAATAATAATTACTGTTTACTTAATTCTTACTGTGAACCAGGACTCACTCAACCCTTAACACAACCCTAGAAAGTGGAGATGGGTCTTGCCTCATTTTGCAGATGTGGAAAGTGAAAATCAGGGGCCCTGTGACTTGGCCCTGGTGACACACCGCCTCCCATCAGGTGTGGTCCACATGGATTCAGTAAATTTACTAAAAATCATTTAATTGTATGCATGCAACAGGCAAATTATACGCTACGTAAATCATGCCTCAATAAAACTAAAAAAAGCTCATGCCTGTCACCCTGGGCTCGCACAGGGAACCCCATCCCTGTGGCTCAGGGAAGCTCCAATTGATACCCCAAATGTCATTTCTTCACTCTCTTTGTTGCCTGGTTGCCCTGGTAACGAACTGCCGCAAAAGAAACCGTTAGAGCCACCTTGGGTGGGGCGGGAAGGGAGGCATGGGGGAAGTCACAGCAAAACTTAAGTTCAAACCCACAGCTGGCAAATCCCTTCAACCCACAGCTGAGTCCCAGCCAGGTCTGGGGGAGCAAGAACGGGGGTCACTGGGGCTGCCCCTGTCACTGACACAGTGGGAAACATATTGGGGGCACCCCATAGTAGAGGGGTCCCCAACCCTAGCTTCCCAGCAACCCCTATGCCATCTATTAAGAGTGAATTCCTGAGGGGGGGCCACAGCACTAACTTTTTGCCCCCTTTCCTTCCCCTCTGCCTCAGTTTCCCCTCTTAAGGAGCAGCCTCCAAAGTGGATCCAGAAGGGAGCCCGGGGAACCCTCTGGGAGGGGAGTCGGGCTCTTAGAGTCCCCAGGGGTTCCTGCCAGGATGTGGGGGTGCCCGGGCTCTGCCAGCCACTCTCCCCATGTGCCTGTGGTGCCTGCCTGACCATGTGGCTTCTTCCCTCACAGGCCCCAGAGCTCCCAGATGAGCCCACCATTTCTCCACGGGAAAGGGGGGGCCACAGCACCAAAACAGCACTGCCAGCAGCTCCCTTGCCCCTCTTAGCAGGGCCCCAAAATTCTCACCTTGTAGGACAAGAAAGACTCTGAAGCGGGTGCCTCCCATGATCTGAGCTGCCAGCACCGGAAGCAGAGGTTGGGGCAGGGCCATCCAGTGTTCCCAGGCTGGGCAGCTGTGTAGCAGTGCAGCGTCCCTTAGCCTCCGGGGGCCTTTATAAAGTAGGGGGTGGGGAGAGCCACTGGTCCAGGTCCCTCCCCGGAACTGGTAGGGCAGCTGGAAGCCAACAGGAAAGTGCGGTGAAAATACAGACCCAGGGGTGTTGCCTGTACTAACATACACACACACACACACACACACACACACACACACACACACACACACTCGGAGGTCCAACACCATTTGAGCATTTGACAAACTTTCTGACCCCTGTGTGCTTACCGGCTGTATCCCAGGGAGGCTTGCCCAGGGGGTTGTTTAGGTTGGGGAGGGCCCACGTCAGAAACAGCTCAGAGCTGCCACATTGAGGACCGCCCCCACTGTGCTCACTGTCTTGACAAGCCCTAATCTCCAGGGCCAGCCCCTGAGCTAACAATAGTTTCTTCCTAATTTTCAGATGAAGCAATTGAGGCACAGAGAGTCCAGAGTTCAAATAGGAGCTGGAGGAGTCTGAAGGGGCCCCTCATGGATATCAGGAAGGCAGCAGGAAGAGAAATGTCAAGCCACCAAGGGGCCACGATGCTGGAGCTGGGCTTTCTGGGCCAGTGTTTCCCAGGGTGCGAAACTTACATTTCAGGGGCACGTGGGCACTGCGTTAATCATCGGAAAATCACATGATAGGAAAGTTGTTTCCTTTTGGCTTATCTCTGGGGCCATTTAGTAATTTTTAAAATATGCTATTATTTATAAAGGGCTTAATCGGAGCCAGGCCTGACTCTAGGTGCTTTGTCCATTTCAACTCATTGACTCCGCAAAACACGTATGAGGCAGGTGCTGCTCTGATTCCCATTTATAGAGGAGGGAAGCCGAGGCACAACTAACAAGTGGCCCACCTGAGATCCCCAGGCAGGAGGCCTGGTCCCTGGGTTTCCATGAAGAGCCTAAGGTCAAGGAGAAAGTCTCTACTGGATGCTAATGTGTCCTTAACACCCTGGTGGCCCTGAGGTTTTTCCAGCTAACATCCATGGTTTTATGTTCCTTATGTTATTATTTATTTTTAAGTTTATGGACTCTTCAGGGCAATGAGAAGGGTTTTCCAATTAGAACATCAGTATACAGTTTCCTTTTTAAATGAATGGACTTAAGGATGTGAAAGTGTAGAAAATTTAAGAAAATATGAAGTCCATCATAATTCAAAAGGGGAGGATTGTGGTCATGGAAAAATAAGGTCACCAAGGGCTGAAAGTAGAGATGCATTATCCCAGGGATAGTACAGCACCCCCACCCCCTGGAATTAACCCCTTTCTGCCCACTGCCATCCCTTTGACTTAAATGGGGTATAGGAAAGGGTCCCATCGTGGTGCCCAATGGGCCTGGGGGAGGGGAGTGGATACTGTAGGAGGTTGGGAGGGTAGGAGGCCAGACCAGGTCCAGGATGCATTTTGTTTTTTTCCCCAAAAAATCTGGAAATCCCAGGGCTGAACATCTTGTCTATAGGCCACTGGTCTGACAGCTGGTACTGGAGAAGCGGGAGGGGAAGGGTTCCAGCCTGGGGAAGGCGGGAGGCTTGGCCTCAGAGTGTTATCCCCACACCCATCCATACAATCATCCATTCATTTGCTTTCTTCGCCTGGAATGTGCTTGGACCCTTGGAGCAGGTCTAACCTGTCTGGGACTCAGTTTTCCTGTCTGGTGAACGGGATTAAAATGTCTGCCCACTGGCCTCACTGAGCAGGGTGAGGAAGGACTGATAACGTAGGAGAAAACTCTTTGAGATGTTTGCTGCAAGCCTGGGAGAGAGGCATAAATAAGGATCCCCCCCCCTGCCCCACCCAAGGGTGGGCCTGACCCTGCAGTGCCAGGCCCCCCCCCCCCGCCCTGGGCCTGCCCCCACTATAAACTGGCCTGTCTGCAAGCCCTATGGCTCTGACTTCAACTAGACCCAGAATCCTCTCACTTCTCGTCAGCCCCCACCTTGGTTCCCCGACTCTGGTCCCCTACACTCTGTTCCCCTCACAGTGGCCCAAGGGATCCTGGGACTGCCTGAGTCAGGACACATCCCTCCTCTGCTCAAGAATCCTCCATGGCTCCCACCTCACTCAGCATAAACCCCAAAGCCCTCCCATCGTACAGAAGACCCTGCACGCCTGCCCTGTCACCTCCTTGTCCTCACCTCCTCCCTCTCTCTCCTCTGTCACGGCTACCATTTTCCTTGTGGAAAACACCAGGCATGTTTGACCTCAGGGTCTGACCTTTGCAAGGGCGGCTGTCTGCCTGGAACACTCTGACCCCAGATAACCTCCTGTTTCCCTCCCTCCTGTCCTTCATGTTTTTGCTCAAACATTCCCTGACCTACCTCCCATGTCCAAAATGTAATCCTCTCCCATCCTCAGCACCCCCAATTGCTCTCCTTTCCCCATTCTCTGTAGCACCTTACCAGACCCCCATCATGGAATTCCCCTGCTTCCTTGTTCACTGTCAGCTCTCCACCCCATAGACTGTCAGCACAGATGACAGGACTTTGATCCCTTTGTGTCTCTGCACCCCACAGGGCTCCATAGTTAGTGATACTGAAACCAGAGAGCAACTGAGTCCAGGGCTCGTACTGCCTGCCCGGCTCAGCCAATAGACTGACGCGGGAGTTGGGCTATTAAAAAATATGTGTGTGGGCCGGCCGAGTGTCGCGTTGGTTAAGAGTTGGCTTGGGATGCCAGCTCTGAACAGCAGGGCCCCGGTTCGGATCCCATATGCGGGCAAGTGACTCCTGCGCCCCCTACAGCTAAGATGGTGAACAACAGCTCCACCTGGAGCTGGGCTGCCGTGAGTCGCCTGCGACGGCGTAGGCTGCAGTGGGGCTGGTCGGCAGCTGGCGTGAGCTTTCGAGAGCTGCTGTGAGCCGCTGTGAGTGGCCATCCAATGGCCGGCAAGCGACTGCCTCACCCGGGAAGAGCACAATGATAATACCAACATGGGCCAGTGAAGCGACGTCCTCCAAAACTAGACTGAAGAACAAAAGGACAGCAACTTATCTGTTCCCCTTCCCCGATTCCCCAACGCTGTTCCTCTCCCCCGATTCCCCAATAAAATTAAAAAAAAAGGAAAGAAAAGCTTGTATTGTCAGAACATGGGTGATCTGAGAAGGCATCAGGTTAATACCTTCAAAAACTGCCTTAACATTCCCAAACCAGCTTAGGGTATTTCAGGGAAAATCTGTGTATTCCCTTTAAAAAACATCCAGCCTAAGGAGAAAACTTATGAGTTTAGTTGAGCCAAACTGATGACAATTGCCGGGAAGCAAAAATCTCGAAGGATTGAGAAAATGCTCCGGAAAATGGCGATTTTGCAATTTATCTTATACATTAGAATCAAAGGAGGGTTACACGAAAAACATTGGTGGCTGATTAAGGGGGTGGGAGAAAGCAAAAGGGAGGGAGGAATCTCTGGGATTGGATAAAAAGTAAAATGGAGAGACAGATACTTTTTTACATTGGTGGGTACAAGATAGTTAATGACGTTTTACAGCACATAGAGATGGTAATCAAGGGACAAGAACAACAATGAGGGATTCTGTAGTTTCCTGTTCTGGTGTGGCAGGTTGTGCTCTGGGGGTCCAGAAAAAGGGTTTACTCTGATATTGCAAGAGTATATTATGTTAGATGCAAAAAGATGACAGACAGGCTCACTTAAGGTAAAGATTGACCTTTGTCAAGGAAGCTACAGGTCAAGGATGTGACTGCCGGTCATGACCCACTTTTAGTTAGGAATTTCTGTGTTCAGACCATCCTATGTGGGGAATTTCGGTCCCTGAGTTTGTAGGGCCTGCCATTCAGGCCTCCCCTGAGCTTGTCAGGTTTCGTATGGGTCCTTTTTTCGTCCACATTCCTGAGGTCTCCTGCTTCATGGAGCCTTCCCTCTGGCAACTGTGGCTCTCCAGCATCATCAGCAACCCAGGAACAGTGATGGGAGTAGCCCGGAAAGAATGCGAGGCCATAGAGATTGTGCTCAATAAGCATAAGAGTATTAATCATAAGTTTCAGGGTAATTTCTAAAGCGAGGAACTGGGACAGGGGACATTCTGAGCTCAAGCCGCAGGGGGGTACTCTATTACTAAGTTATAGGTTAAGGAAAGGTGAGGCCGGGGACTCTGCGAGGCTTCTACAATATTATGGGATCCCAGTCGGGCCCTGTTTCAATACCACTCCTGCTGCTGCTCCCCCCACCCCCAAACACACTGAAGGAAACCACCTTCAGTCTTCCTGATCTTGCCCCTGCTGGAATGTTGACATCATTCCTCCTCCTTTCTTCAAGTTCTCTGAAGTTCCAACCCCACTGACCTATTTGGCAGCCCTTGGACAACCCCGTGACCTCGGTTCCACAATGGTGTAAGGCAAGGACTTGGGTCCCCCTTTGTCAGAGGAGAAACGAGCACCTGGGGGGTTGGACCAAGATTCCTCAGCTAGGAAGTGGCTGAGCCAGGATTTTCAACCAATAATAATAAGAGTATTACTTATGATATAATATAATTTTCATTATTATAATTGCAACAGGAACAAATCATCGTGATGGGTGATAGTGGTCATCCAGTGCCTACTCTACGCGTGGCCCTCTTCTAAGCACTTCACAAGGATCAAATTCACTTATCTTCCAAGGAGTCCTAGAAGGCAGGTGTTGTGATTTGCATTAGACAGATGAGGAAACTGAGGCAGTCACAAAGCACCCCTTGTCTTATATCAGAGGTCCTGGGGAAACTCCATCTCTTCAGCTTTTGGATCATGTGGTCTCAGGCGGTGAATCGACCTCTCTGGGCCTCAGTTTCTCCCTCTGTGAAATGGTGGGAACCTTGGCAAGCACAGGTGAGGGTCATATGGGAATGAGGGGGCAGGGCTGTAGCTCAGAGTAGACATGCAGTCAACAGCAGTGGTTCCTAGGATGATGGCTTTCTCTGTGATGCCCTCTGCTGCGGGGAAGGAGACGAGGGGCCCTCAGTGTCCTGTCCCCCTTCTGGTGTCACCAGCCAACCCATGCCCAGCAGCCTTGCAAGCTCCAGCCGAGGTGGGGGTCAGATGGGGTCTCCAGAGGAAGGGGGGCATGACAGG